GTTCCTGCGGCACCTCCCAGATGCTCACAAAAGTTGCGACAGGTCTTGCAGCTGGAAGCAATCATGGAGGGCGAGGTCTCATTATGGTACGCGTAGGACCACTTCCTCGGGGCCCATGAGAGCTGCGACAGTTGCACAGTCGGCAGCATCGAGGGAGGAAGAGGTCGCATTGTGACGTGCGACATCGTGAAAATTGCAGTTGCGTTGTTTCCAGCACCCAGGAAAGCCAGGTCGGAGGCATCCACGAGGCAGGTCGGACGGACGCAGGAGGCGAGAGGAGAAGGAAGGAGGACGCGGCAACTGCGTTCTAGCCAAGATGAGACCCATCGCAGCAGGTTTTGAAAAATAAACAAGAATCATCGCTGAACCAACATAGTGAGCTTGTGAACGTTGGATGTGCAAGCAATGTGGTGGTAGCAGCGTGGTGAAAGTAATGTAGCGCAAGGCATGTGTTGCAAGCTATGCGATGCAACCTGTGAGGGGTAAGCTATATGGTATTAGGTGTCAGCTAGTGAACGTTTCTTTATGCATTGTTTTGCCGATCGGCGTGGGTCCTCGCACCCCCCCCCCCCTGCCCCCCCCCTGGAGTAGATCTTGGCTGTTGTTGGCGCCTGTTTCGAGCGGGTGGAGTCTCTCCCAGATGGAGCATTGCTGCAAGCAGTCGCATTAAGCAGAAGTCCGGAGCCGGACCCCCCCCTCTTCCGCCCAATGTCGAGACGCCGAATAAGAAAACGTTCATCACGTGGTGCAAGAGATGCATTCAGATCCAGGCGTTGCACAGAAATCGTGGTGGCATCCGTTTCGCCTTCGGCCTCTGAAGGCCGCTTCGTGGCCCCAGGACCTTACAACAAATAGCTCAAAATGAGAGGGTGGCCCTAAGGATGTGGTCGAGATCCCAGGGGGGCCCACATCACCCAAAAAACTGCAGTGTCGGAGGAGAGGGTGTCGCACAAGGTGTGTGGCTAGGTGGTGCAAAGTATCCGGCGCAGTCTATGTGGTGTTCCCTGAGATCCGATGTCGTGATTTCTTCAGTGCGGGGTCCCGGGAAGTCCCGACCCTTTCCCCAGGGCCGGCTTTTCATCCTGAGTCTTTTTTGTTGACGGTCCCAGGGCCCGGCGAGGGCCTCCAGAGGCCGAACACGGTGGAAACCCTCCCTCACTTGAACGAAGGATTGCAAAAAAAACGAAGGATTGCAACAAAAACGAAGGATTGGTTTTTGTTTGCAATCCTTCGGTTTTTTTAGCAATCCTTCGATGTTTGTTTCAATGCGTTGGATCTTTGGTTTTCGCTGCGTCCAGCCGGCGCACGACGCGCCCGACCGGCGCCCCCGGGCCGGCCACGGGTGGCCGACGTGCGGCAGGCCCGGCAGCGCAGGCCAGCGCCCGCGGGGCGCCCACGAGGCCGCCACGGCCGGCTGCCTGGCGAGAGAGCCGGCAGCGCAGGCACTCTTCAGGAGGAGGAGGAGGGGGAGGAGGAGGGAGGGAGGGAGGGAGGGAGGGAGGGAGAGACTGCAAGAGGCAAGCGAGACTGCAAGAGGCCAACGACCCAGAGACTGCAGGCACTCTTCATTGAAGTACTTGTGGTCCTCGATTCTTGGACCCTCTCCTTCGCTCCTCCCTGCCTCCTGCTCCTCCAGCTCTGCAGCCTCGTCCTCTCGTGATCTCCCCAGGAGCTCGACCACTTCCCCAGGGCCTGCTTTTCATCCTGAGCCGTTGCCCAATGTCCTATAGGGTTGGGAAGCTCGACCACACGCAAGAGGGACCCTTCGCCGGCGTGACCTCTGACGCGGGCCCACCGGGGCCCCCCGATCGCCGAACACGATGCGGTATAGTTGCGTATTGTGCGCTTGTGTTCGGCTCCCCCCGCGGCCCCCTAAAAGCGTGCACCAGGAGGGAAAGAAACACGCAGACACAACTAATCCTCGATGCCCCAGAAATTATGGGAAAAGATGAGAAGTGGGGGGGAAGACAAAAACCCAGAAAATGTAGGAAAATATGGGGAATATGTTTATTTGTGTGTATCTATTGATGTGTCCCAGGGCCCCTTCAATGCCCTGGATACAGTCGGGGCGCTGAGGAAGGAACCCTTCTCGTTGGGGAGGGGCTCGGTGTTCCTTAGTTGTTTTGTAGTTCGCCTTTGGTTTTGCTTAGGGTTTCGATGGGAAGTCGAAGTTTAACTTTTGGGAAAAAGGGGCCTCGTTCCTTCTTTAGGGTTCCTTAGGTCAACGCCCCGACTGTATCATCAGAGGGCTCCCTCCCGCCGGGCCGCCAAAGTGCCCCTGGCCCGGCGCGCCGGCAGAAGCCCGGAGCAGCGCGCCCGATGCGGGGCAGCTCGGCACCCGAGCCTCGACCTGTGGGGACGTGCGGGCTGTCCGCGTGCACAGACCGCGGCCTCCTCCTCCCCCTCCTCCTCTTCCTCCTCCTCCTCCTCCTCCTCCTCCTCCTCCTCCTCCTCCTCCTCCTCCTCCCCCTCCGCCCAGGCATCCGGCGTCTCGACAGAAATAGCGACGGAGGTTTTTTCCACAGTCTTCGGCCTCGGGGAGCCCTTTACAGGGCCTCGGGACCGGCAAAGAACGACTCGGGATGGAAAAAAACGGTCCTGGGGAATGGGTCGAGACCTTCGGGGGTCGACGTCATGGTGAAACACGACGTCGGGTGTCTGGGCATTCAGACGACCGAGGGCTCTCGCCTCGTCTCTTCTGCGTCTCGTGCTCTTGGCCGCCCATCTTCGCTTGGGCAGTGGGCACTGGGCCCCTGCAAACTGGGCGGGCATCGAGGAGAACAGTGTGTGTTGACAGTTTTTGGCCCTCCCCGGGCCTCCAGAGGCTTCCGGGAGAGGCCTCTGGGAACACCTCCCAGGAGAAAAGGCTCCCGGCGGCTCGAGAAGACGGAGACGGCTGGTTTTCTCATGTTCATCGGGGCCCAAGGACCGCCAGAAGACGGCTCTGGGCGGAAAGCCCGTCCTCGGGCAGAGGTCGGAAGCTTCAGGGGCCAGCGACTCGAAAAGCGAAGTCGTCGCAGGTCTGGGTCCTCCTCCACTCGATTCGGATGTGGGCGCCGTGAACAATGAGGTCAGGGGATCGAAGACCCCGCGCACTCGTTTGGCTCGGCATGAAAGATATCCCAGGCAAGCCAGACATCAATAGGCATCCGACTTGCATTGATATCTTTCTTGTCAGTTCGTGGGCCTCGAGGTCTCGACCCCTTGCAGCCTTTCCCCCAAGAACCACATCTGATTGCGCAGGCTTTGATTTTGGTTACATTATTCAATGCGGGATGCCCGGCTCTGGACCACTCCCCGGGGGCCTGTTTCTCGTCTCGGCTATATTTCCGGACGATCCCGAGGCCCAGCGAGGGCCCCGAAACGCCGACCCATGTGAATAAATGTCGATATGTTTGCCAAATGTGTTAGCAGAGGGGGTCTCTTACTTGCTCATATGGACTGCGTGTTCCGAGACCCTTGCCGGCTTTGGTGATGCGATTGTTGTTGATGTTGCCATTATTTGTTTTCATGTGCTGTCGGATTTTGTTGGATGGCGTGTCGCTCCGCCAGTTCTGGCCCACCACGCTTCGGCGCGACACGCTATCCACTTCCTGGTCCCCAAGCGTCAACGTCCCGAGCCTTTACGTGCTCCCCGCTCCGCGGAGCGGAGCGGCACGCTATCCGTTCGCATGGCATAGCGTTTCACCAGGGCCGTTGCCGCGATACACTATGCAAAAGTTCCCAACCATATTTGGTGGCGGCGCTGGGGTATTGGGAGGGCCTTACGGCCTGTGCCGCCGACCCTGAAGGGGACGACGACGACGACGACGACGACGACGACGACGACGACGAGGTCTCAAGTCTCCGGATTTCCCTCGAGCCCGAGGAGGAGGAGAGGCGGCACTTTGAGGAGCTCCTGGCGTCGCAATTTCTTCGCACCGGGCGTTTTCTCGCCAGGTTTCGGGACCCAGGGCCCTCGCGTACCGATCCTGGATGAAAAGTGTCCCAGGAAGGGGGGTCCAGTCGGACGGGGCCAGGACGAGGATAAATCCGTTCCAGAGCGTTCCAGAACGCTCTCAGAGCGTGCCGAAACGCTCTGAGAAGGCCGTCGCGCCCGAGACATCCTCCCGAGCCGCCAGATCTCAGAGATTCCCGATTTGTCCTCGCACCATTCATCCTTATCCTGGCTTCGTCTTTTCCTGGGCTCCAGTCGAGTTGTTCTACGATGTTGCGTGTCTGCGTGACGACGACGGCGGCGTCGGCGGCGACGACGACGGCGACGTGGGGCAGAGTCCTCAGGGATGCTCAAGGGGACCTCTTCGAAGCGCGCTCGCAGGCCTCTGGGGGAAGTGTTGGGGGCCTCTTGCGAGCACTTTTGGGACCTCTTGGGATTCGGTGTCGAGCATTTTTGGGGCCTCTTGCGAGCATTGTTGGGGCCTCTTGCGCGCACTTTTGGGGCCTCTTGGGATTCGGTGTCGACGTCGAAGTATTTTTTCAGCATGCGTTGGAGGCCCGGGTGCGCCGCGCGCCCGCCGCGCGTCCGCGCAGCCCGCCCGCCGCCCCATCTTGACATCGCTCGGACGTGTGCGTCCTTCCTCGGCGGGGAGCATCTTGGATCCTCTTGCGACGCAGGACGCGCACGCAGCCGAACGACGCACGGGCCGATGGACGTCCGAGCGATAACAGGCCCTTCGTCCGCGCACGCGGCGTGGTGCCCTCCGCCGCCCCCTCCGCGCCGCGGCCCCGCCCTCCGCCCCGCGCCCCGCCGCCTCTCTGCCCCGCCCCGCCGCCCCTCCGCCGCCCACCGCCCTCTCGCCGCCCTTCCCCGGACGCCCGGCGCCTCGAGTTCGAGGAGGAGGAGGAGGAGGAGGCGCAGGAGGAGCCCGACTGTTCGACCACTTCCCCGAGAGTCGTTCTGGAAGGTCCCGAGGCCCAGGGAGGGCCCCGAGAGGCCCGAGGAGAAGCCACCGCCTCGATGCGTCCGAGACGCCGGGCGTCTGGGGCATCCGTTCGCGCAGGCGGCGTGCTGCCCTCCGCCGCCCCCGCGCTCCGCGCCGGCGCCGGCGCCTCGGCGCCAGAGCAGGGTCGCGCCGGAGCCGGCGCGGGCTGGGCCGCGGCGGCGTGGGGCGCCGCGGCGGCGGCGGCCGCCGCGGAGGGGCTGCGGACGACGATGACGACGACGACGACGACGACGACGACGACGACGACGGCGACGACATGGATGACGACGACGACGACGACGACGACGACAACGACGAGGTCCCAAGTCTCCGGATTTCCCTCGAGCCCGAGGAGGAGGAGAGGCGGCACCTTGAGGAGCTCTTGGCGTCGCAATTTCTTTGCACCGGGCGTTACCTCGCCCGGTTTCGGGACCCAGGGCCCTCGCGTACCGATCCTGGATGAAAAGTGTCCCAGGAAGGGGGGTCCAGTCGGACGGGGCCAGGACGAGGATAAATCCGTTCCAGAGCGTTCCAGAACGCTCTCAGAGCGTGCCGAAACGCTCTGAGAAGGCCGTCGCGCCCGAGACATCCTCCCGAGCCGCCAGATCTCAGAGATCCCCGAGTTATCCTCACACCATTTATCCTTATCCTGGCTTCGTCTTATCCTGGGCTCCAGTCGAGTTGTTCTACGATGTTGCGTGTCTTCGTGACGACGGATCTCGGGGCACATTCGGTGCCATCGATTGTCTCGATTGGCAGGGGCCTCTCTGTGGCCCCTCGTGCGTGCCTTCGAGCCTCGTTGTGCCGGTCGCGCGGTGAGCTCGAAGTCTCTAAAGACCTCAGCGCACGGTCCGTAACCCCTTTTGTCCTAGGTCCTCGGAGGCCCCAGCCACCCGAGACGTCCGCGGAGGTGCTCCTGGAGCTCGTTGGGGCCGCTGGCGTCGCCTCGGGAGCCTCTCTTGGGCTGCCTTGGCGGCGTCCTGGGCCCCGCCCAGGGCGCCTTGGCCGCCCGACTGGAGCCGTTCTGACGCCCCCCATCCAGTGGAGACCCATGCCAAGAGACACCCTGCTTGCCTCCGGGGTGCCCTCCCTGGGTCTCTTGGGTTTCCACGGTTTTGCGATGGAAAGCGTGACGCTCCCACACCAAAAATCAACGGATTTCCTGGGGTCTCAGGGTTGGGTTTCTTGTGGAAGGTTTCTTGTGGTCGAGCCCTCACTGTACGGGGAGCGAGGAGAGGAGACTGCACCACCCCGATGTACTCCATACGGGGTCCCGCGCAGTCCCGATCCGTTCCCCGGGGCCATTGTCTGACAGCCTCGGGGCCCCGCGCGGGCCGCCAGAGGCCAAAGCCTCCAGACTGAGGTTTGCAAGACGTTGGAGGTCTGGGACCAGGAGGGCTCTCTCCCTCTCTGGCGCCTCGCGCTGGTGGTGGCGGTGTCGCCCCTCCCCGTGCCCCGCGGGGCTCGGGGGCCAGGCGCGGGCGGCACCTGCGGGCGGCGCGGGGGCGGCAGGCCCAGGCACCCCACGAGATGTGCTGCTTCAGTCCCGTCGCGCTTCTCCTTGAGATTCTGGCTTCTCCGCCTGTTCTCCGCACCCTCCGGCCGCCTGAGGCCCCGCCCGCCCGCGCCCTGTCTCCCCAGTTAGTGCTTCGCGCGCCCCGCCTAGCTCTTAACCGGAAGAGGCCCGCTCTTGACCCGCCGGCCCCCAAACAAAAACTGTGCGCTGGGCCTCCCAAGCTCGGCCCGAGCAGATGGGGTCGGGGGATCCCGCCGATGCATCGCCGATGCATCGGCGATGCGGCGCAGTGCGCCGACCCCACCTGCTCGGACCCCGTCTCGGAGGCCTCTCTCTGCAGGGCCCGTCTCTGGGCCCCGAGGCCGTCCAGAGCGGGCCCGGGGCGAAACGTGGCCCCCGCGGAGGGGATCAGAGCCTCGGACCTGGATCGTCGGGCTTCGGACCCTGTGGGGCATGTCGTCGGGCCCCCGGGGCCACTCAGAGTGGGCCTGGGGCGGAACACTGCCCTCAGCGGAAGGGGTCGGAACCTCCTACGGGCCGCACACTGAACAAAACAAAACAAAACTAAAAACATCGTTGGATGTCGGGGGGGTGGGGGGCTCACGGCGGTGCGGTGAGGGGGGCGGCGGCGGCGGCGGAACGCGGCGGGAGGGCGGGCTGGCCACGGCGGCGCAGACTTGGCGGCAGGCCGACGGCTACCGCAGGGCGAGGAGCGGAGTGGACGCGCGTGCCCCCCCGCACCGCCCCCCTGGCTAAAAACCTCCCCCGGCCATCCCGACGCTGTGGCCAGGCGTCGGCTGAGCGTAAGGGTAACCCTTCGTCAGGGTGACCTGTGGTGCGAGCCCACAGAGGAGGTTCTCCCCAGCACGGGCTGGGGCGCTCGAACTGTTTGGACATGGCCTCCCCTGCGGCCACCTGAGGCCGCACGCCACGGGCCGCCCTTGTCCAGGGCCATTCTCGTTGGCAGCCGAAGGAAAGAGGGGGGCGGCGGGCGCGGTTCTCGCGGCGGGGGGGGCGGATGGCGGCGGAGGGCATTGGCCGTCGACGTCCTCTTCCTGCCCGAGCACCACGCAGGTTCGCTATCAAGTTTCCCAGCAGTCAAGGATTCGCGGCGGCTCATTTCCGACATGTGGGGTTCGCTGTAGCTCCGCGCACAGTAGGCCCCAAAGTTCCCAACAGCTACAATACTGGGGTAACAGTCGTTTCCAAGATGGGACTCTCGCGATTCCGCCGCGCACATGCATCATCAAAGCTTCCGACCGCCACATAGATGGAAGGCGACCCGTTTTCAACATGTAGGTTTCGCTGTAGCGCTGTGTAAATTCGTCTTCAGAGCGCTCAACAGTTACAATGATGGGGTGCAGCTCCCTCTTACAATTGAGCTGTCGCTTGAACGACTTACAGGCTATGGCGTACTTGATACACAGATGGAGGGAGATGCCCCATAGTGGCCTATCGTTTTTGACTTTCCCATTTTACCGTATGAATTCTCAAGTTGCGCAACCCCTGATGCTATCTGGGTTTGCTCTGGTCCTCCTCGTCGTCGTTGAGGACCCATTGTCGAGTAGGATCGAGAATCGATGTGCTCGGACGTGTTTGACCAGGCTTCGGACGCTGGTCGTGGGCCTCCAGAGGCCTCCTGCTCACCAGATGTGCCAAGCTACGAAAAAATGGCACAGACAGTGTTTGTTACATTCTGGTCCTCTCGAGACGTGTGCCCAAATGTGCGCGTTGTTGACATGCCAGCGCAGCCACTGCGGCCTTCGGTGAAGCTCCATATGGGACCACGAAACGTGTGAGGGTTGTGCCGAACTGGCTGTGGTTGTGGAATGCGGACGTTGCCATTGGGGCCTTCGGCGGATCTCCCTGTGGTGCCACGAAGCATGTGACGGGTGCGCCGACTTGGGCGTGGTGGTGGCAGGCGAGCGCAGCCAATGGGGCCTTCGGCGGAGCTCCTTGTGGGGCCACGAAATGTGCGAAGGGTGTGCCGACATGGGTGCCGGTGTTGGCATGCGAACGCAACCATTGGTGCTTCCGGCGGCGCTCCGTGTGGTGCCACGAAACGTTTGAGGGCTGTGCCAGAGTTGGCGCGGTGGTGGCATGCGAGCGCAGCCACTGGGGCCTTCGCTGGAGCTCCCCCTGGTACCACGAAACGTGTGACTTGTGTGCCGAACTGGGCGCGGAGGCGGCATGCGAGCGCAAGCACTCGGGCGTTCGGCGGAGCTCCCTGTGGTGCCCCGAAGCGTTGGAGGGGTTTTCCAAACTGGACGCGGTTGCGGCATGCGAGCGCAGCAACTGCGACCCTCGTCGGAGCTCCTTGTGGGGCCACGAGACGTGTGAGGGTTGGGCCGACATGGGTGCGGTGGCGGCATGCGAACGCAACCACTGAGGCCTTCGGTGGGACCCATTGTGGTACACACGAAACGTGTGAGGGTTGTGCCAGAATTGGCGAGGTGGTAGCATGCGAGCGCAGCCATTTGGGCCTACAGTGGAGCTCCCTTTGGTGCCATGAAACGTGTGACTTGTGTGCCGAACTGGGCGCGGTGGCAAACGCAAACCCTGGGGCGTTGGGCGGAGCTCCTTGTGTGGCCACGAAACATGTCAAGTTTGTGGCACAATGTGTGCGCTAGTGGAATGCCCGCGCAGCCACTGCGGCAGTTGGCAAAGCTCCATATGTTGCCACGAAACGTGTGAGGGTGGTGCCCAAATGGCTGCGGTGGTGGCGTGCGAACGCAGCCACAGGGGCCTTCGGCTGAACTCCCTCTGGTGCCCGCGAAACGCTTGACATTGATGGTTGTGCCGAAATTGTCGCGGTGGTGGCACGCGAGCGCAAACATTGGAGCGTTCGGCGTAGCTCCATCTGGAGACACGAAGCGGGTGAGTGGTGTGCCGAATTGGGCGCGGTGGCGGCATGCGGGCGCAGCAACTTGGGCCTTCGGCCGAGCTCTCCGGGGTGCCAGGAAACATGTGAGGGGTGTGGTGGTGGCGTTCGAGCGCAGCCATTGAGGCTTTACGACTGCTCGCGGGAAGCCAGTCCTCCCTCTCCTCCTCCTCCTCCTCCTTCTCCTCCTCGTCCTCCTCCTCCTCCTCGTCCTCGGCCTCGTCCTCCTCCTCCTCCTCCTCCTCCTCCTCCTCCTCCTCGAGATGATGCGCGTTTCCCATACACCCTCAGGGGGCTTCTAGATGGCTAAAGGGGTCTCTGGGGACCTAAATGCGACCTTCAGAGATCTCCGCAGACCCGAAGGCCTCCAGAGGAGGAGGAGGGAGATCGGGATTCGAAGATCAGACCTCCTGGGGTGTTTTTTTGGCCACGTCTGGATCCCTCTCGAAATGATTAACCCCACGCGTGCTTCCACCGGACCATCCAGATATGATGTCCAGGCGAGTTGCCCTGATCAAGAAAGTGCAGTTGAACAGAGAGGGAGGGGTGTGGGGCAGCCGTTAAACCATGCTCAGGATCAGCCCGAGCAGACCCAGGAGCGATCCACACATGCTTTCGCGGCGCTCTCGAAGGATGAAAAGGAGTGAGGGAGGAAGGGAGGGAGCAGGGAAGGAGGGAGGGGGGGAGGGAGGAAGGGAGTGAGGGGGTGGAAGGAGGAGCCAGGAGGACGGAGAAAGAGGAGGCGAAGCGTTAGGAGGAAGCACGATGGAGAGGAGCCAGGGGCTTCCCAGGCGGCCTCTGGAAGACCAGGCGCACATTTGTGTTGTGCGTTGTTCCGAACCCTGCGGGAAGAAACACTGTTCTCGGAGAGGAGGTGCGGCTCCTGTTCTCGGAGAGGAGGTGCGGCTCCCGTCACGCCCGCGCTGCTTCAGGTCCTGCGGGAAGGGGGAGGGGCAGCAGGCCTACAGAGGATAGCAGCTACGAGGCCCAGATCCGCAGCTCCACTGCGACGGACGCTCGCCATTCTTCGTTCTCTCCAGGGAGTCATCCTGCCGATGTGCAGACCGGAGGGCAGGGCGCGCGGGCGAGCACCTGCTTTGCAGTGGCCGTGCCCTGGTCCGTGTGGGGTCGAGACGCCGGAGAAGGGATCACGGTGGGCTCGGGAGGGGCTCGGGTTCTCGGGCCGCTCCTCTTCGTCTGGGCCGGGGGCATCGTTTGTGGCCGAGGCCATAAAGTTTGGCATCGCTCGGGCGTGTGCATTTTTCTTTCGGCGAAAACCATCGAGGAGCATCCTGGATCACTAGGCGAGAAAACCACGCACGAAACCGAACAAAAACACAGGGAATGGACGTCCGAGCGATGGCCAGAAAGAGCCCATAGTGTTCTTCTTTCGGTACGGTGGAGGCGTTCGTTAAGGAATGTGCCCAGTAGGTCGCAGACCCTGGAGGATTCCTTATCTGATGCGGGCGGCGGTGCTATCCATGGCCGATCCACGATTGGTGTTCCACCAGCTTCTAGACCCTGGATTCCTTATCCGCTGGTTCCTTATACAATGCCCTCACAGTAGCCATTTTGGCTCAAGTGCCTGGCGCTGGGCCCCCGCCGCCGCCTTCCCGCTGGACCCCCGCAAGTTGTAAGTCGGCACTTCCTCCTCGGGGCGGATGGCTGGCCCGAGGGGCCCGCCTGGGCGCTGACGCCACCGGCGCAGGGCGCCCGCCCGCTGCCCCACGGCGGCCGCTGGGCGCCTCGCCCGCTCTTGCGGGCCCCGGCGGCTCGATGGAGGCCTTCGTGCTCTTCACTGCGGTGACGGCGCTGGCGGAGGACCGCTGGGCGCGGGCGCGCGGCGCTGGATGGCCCGCCTTCCTGCAGCTCGCCGCCCCCCCGCTCCTGCCCCTCGACCTCTCGCTGCTGGAGATGCTTCTGGCTGGCCTCGACCGCTCGGGTGCGCTGGTGCCCTTCCGCCTGGCTGCTGGGCGCGGCACTGGCCACCCAGGGGCGATGCCCCCTTTTCCCAGGGAGTGGCTTCGGTGGACTGCCCCCTTTTGGGGGCGGCACGGCCTGGTGGGTGCCGCGTGCGGTGACGCCCCAGGTGACGCCGCAGACCTGGATGTGCGCGCGGGCCGGGCCGCGTCGCAGCGTACGCTACGGGAGGGCCGCGGGGAGTGTTGAGCGGTGGACTGCTGAGCGGCGCCGTGGGGCTCGTAGTGGTGCGGTGGGCCCAGGTCTGGCTATGCCCAGGTCTGGCCACCGCGGTGCCGAGCTCGTGGGGCGGGCCGTCGCCGTCGTCTCGTCGTCGTCGTCGCGAATGCATGCATGACCACGTGGGTTCGCCTACTCGAAGAGTTTTTTAAAACATGCCCTCACAGTATCCCTTGTGGTAGCACGCTGACGGCAGGATGGGGGTGAACCGCTCCAGAGCGCCGTGGAAAGCTCACAGCGTTCCGAATGGTCCAGGAACGGCCGCGGCGCCTGCGTCACATCCCTTGGACCCGCCAGTTCTCCAAGGTTCGAGGCCCATCCTCGGTCGGATTGTTCGTCTTTGCCTTGTCTCGGCGAGGGGGCGGGCAGGCAGGAATCGGCAACGAGCGAGGTGGGAAGGAAGAAGGCGTGAGCCTTCTCAGAAGGCTCGGAAGGCCTCCAGTTTTTTTGAAAACACCGGACAGGTCGCTCCTCGGCCCCCCGCCAGCCCGCACGTCAAGGGGCGGGCAGATCTATATCTATATTATATATATATACGTATATATATACATATATATATATACGTATAGGTATATGCATCTATACATGTGCGTACACATTATCCACATATATATACATATATCCGTATGCATATACATACACATATACAGGCGCAGCACCGCGCTGCATGCGTAGCCTTCCGCTGAGCCAGGCAGGCGCAACACTGCATTGCGTGGCGCGCGGATGCCCGCACCGACCACTACTCTTTTCCAGGCCCTACCTCCGACCACCCCTTTTCCCGCCTCCTCATCGTTCTCGTCCTCCGTCCTCCCTCGCCCATCCACCCCCGTCGTCCAACTCCTCTGGCTCCTCCTTCCGCCGCCTCGTCCCTCTCCTACTCCCTCCTCGTTTTCCGCCTCCTCCGCCGTCCTTTGTCGCCCACCTCCTCTTCCTCCTCGTCCGACACCTTCCCCCTTCCTCCCCACCAGTCTTCCTCCCCCTTTCACGACGTCGACATACTCCCCACCGCCCCCCTCCTCCATGTCCGCCTCCCCTCCCCCTTCCCCCCCCTCCTCTCCTCCTCCTCCCTCCTCCTCCTCCTCCTCCTCCTGCCTCCTCCTCCTTCCCTCCTCCTCCTCCTCCTCCCCCTCCTCCTCCTCCTCCTCCCTTTTCTCCTCATCATCCTTCTCTTCCTCCTCCTCCTCCTCCTTCTCCTCCACTTCCTCCTCCTCCTCCTTGTCCTGCCCCTCCTCCTCTTGCTCCTCCTCATCATCCTCCAGGTGCCATCTGCGCTGAAGGCGCATTGGCCGCCACCGTGGGACAGACCTTCAGGATTCCCTCTGTCAGCGAGAAAACTGCCAGCTAAATATCCTCGTGCCTGGCGCCCAAGCTGCCAGCGCAAAAACCTCAACCCCTGGAAGATTAACCGTTAGCGAAATAGCATTACCGCCTTTGGCCTACAACTGCCAGCAACATATCCTCACCCTTTGGCCTTAAAACTGCCAGCGCAACACCCTCACACCCCTCGCTGGAGACTGCCAGCGAAATATCCCCACTGCCCCTGGCCTAACAATGCCAGCTAAATATGGTCACCCCGTGGCCTACAACTGCCAGCGAAATATCTTCAAACTATGCCAGCTAAATTTCCTCACCTTCTGGCCTTAACTTGCCAGCGACATGTCCTCACACCCCTCGCTTGAAACGGCCAGCGAAATATCCCCACCGCCTCTGACCTAAAACTGCCAGCAAAATATCTTCACCCCCTAGCTTAACACTGCCAGCTAAATATCCTCACCCCCTGGAAATAAAACTGCCATCTAACGGTTTTGGTGATTCAGTTGTCAGTTCAGTCAGTCGGTCAGTCAGTCAGTCAGTCAGTCAGTCAGTCAGTCAAGCAGTCAGTCAGTAGGCAGTCAGCCAGGTATTTCGCGAAAATCAAATTACGGGCTGCGCCCGTAGACAAGTTTCCTGAGGCTCCCTGAAGACACAACAAAACTGTTTACAAGGCGCGAAGTCCTCTGAGAAGCCCCGCCGCCTACTGAGAAGGCCTCCCAACTCCCTCTCACTTCCCCCCCCCCCTGGTTCGCCGCCGAAGCAGGGTCCTCCCTGGGCGGGCCGCAGGGGCTCCGCCGGCGCGCCACCACGGGGAGCAGGACGGCGGCGAAGGGCACGCGACGCGACCTCGCCGTGGCCTACGAGGACTCAGGCCGCTGAGCGAATGGGGGTGGGGTCCCTTTCATCTCGTCCGCTTCGTCCTTCCCCTCCTCCTCAACCTCGTGCTCTTCCTGTCACTTTCGCTGGTGGCGGTGTTGTCAAGCAAGACTGGTTCTCCTCTTCCTCCTCCGCCTCCTCCTCCGCCTCCCCCTCCGCATATTCCGCTTCCCTCTACGGTCATCGACCTCCCTCAGTGGGTGCGCGCGTTCCTCCTTCCTGCACATCGATGTCGTTCTTGTCCACCTCCTCCATATGACGTCCGGGGCTTCGGCTCCGAGTGCGGAGACGTTGTGGGTCGCCTCGGGTGTGCTTCCAGAATGGTTCCATGAGTGGATTATGACAGTTTTCGCCCTGGCGCCTTCACGCCGATGGCCCCCTGGGGAGGGCCGCTGAGGGGGGAGGCTCCTTCGAAGTGGGCCCTGCTGGAGCCGAGCACAGGCTGCAGCGTCGAACTCCACAGAACGACCAAGACGAGGGCAGAGGGCGACGTGCCAACAGCAGCAGCCGCTCGGCGCTCATGGCCAGGCGGGGGGCAACGAGTAGAAAAAGGAAAAGAGAGAATAGAGGGCAACGCGCAGGAAAAGACAACAAAGAGGGCAGAGGGCAGAGAGCAAACGCAAAGGAAACGACAGGGCAAACGCGTTGGAGAACAACGAAAAGAGGGCAGAGGGCAACGGGAAGGGAACGACCACAAATTCCCCCATGCTCTTCGTGACGCCCGACGCTTACGCGGAGGGGTGCGATGAACTGCGGCGTCGGCAGCGGCGTAGAGTTTAATTCTTTTTTGACAAAGGCAGACGGTCGGACCGAGTTATAAGATCGAGGTCGGTTTCAGGAGGGCACCGTCGTGTTATTCATGTTCGTTGGATGTTGTTGTGCATCCTGGGGAAAGCACCCTCGAATGTTCTTCAGTTTGGCCAGCGGATGGTCTCATGCTCTTGAAGGATGCTTTTATGTCTTAGGTCCTAGGTCTGGCCGTATCTGCTGTGCACTCTGTGGGTGGCATGCTGCCTGCTGCCGTCCACGCGGTACAGCACCAGCGCGCGCACGAACAGTTGCAGCACCAGCCAGCTAGGGGGCCACATGCGAACCCTACCCCTACCCCCCACGATTTCTGAGGGGGAGGGTGGGGTTCACTTCGTGCGGGAGCTCCCGAGCGGGCTTCGCGCGCGCGCATGTCGAAATCTGTCGAACGCCCTTGCGCGTGTGCCGTCGCGAGAATCCCCTGCAAAAAACGGGACGAAGTGCAGACGCGCGCGTCGTCGCGCGCGTATGCCGAAATCCTTCAAAACCCATCGGTCTCGGAAGGATGTCAAAATCGTGTGTCCAAAAAACCGACAAAAACACTAGGTTTCGAAACACGGATGTTCAACAAAAGCGTGCGCGCGCGCTCTTGCGTCGTCGTCGTCGTCGTCGCCTACGTCGTCCTCTGTCTTTCCTCGTGTTCGTCGTCGTCGTCCTCTTTGGCGCCGTGGTCGTTTCCGTCGTCGTTGTCGCCGTGGTCGTCCTTCCTCCTCCTCCCTCGTCGTCGTCGTCGTCCGTCGTCGGCGTCTCGTCGTCGTTCCTCCTATTTCGTCGCCGTCGTCGTCGTCGTCGTTGTCGTCGTCGTCTTCCCTCCTCCCTCGTCGTTGCCGTCGTCGGCGTCGCCGTCCTTCCTCCTTCTTCGTCGTTCGCGTCGTCGCCGTCCTCCCTCCTCCCTCGTCGTTGTCGTCGTTGTCGTCGTTGTCGCCGTCGTCGTCCTCCCTCCTCCCTCGTCGTCTTCGTTGGCGACGTCGTCGTCGTCTTCGTCGTCGTCGTCGGCGTCGGCGTCGTTGTCGTCTTTGTCGTCGTCGACGTCGGCGTCGTCGTCGTCGTCGCCGCCGTCGTCGTCGTCGTCGGTGTCGTCGTCGTCGGCGTCGTTGACGTCGTCGTCGTCGTCGGTGTCGTCGTCATCGTCGTCGTCGGCGTCGTCATCGTCGTCGTCGTTGTCATCGTCGTCGTCGTCGGCGTCCGCGTCGTCGTCGTCGGTGTCGTCGTCGTCGTCGTTGTCGGCGTCGTCGAAGTCGTTGGAGACGTCGTCGGTGTCGTCGTAGTCGTTGTCGGCGGCGTCGTCGTCGTTATCGCTGTCGTCGTCGGCGTCGCTGTTGTTGCCAAATGTCATTCGGTACCCACCGTCACGGTCTTAAGAGATTCTGCAAACCAAGTTGCGGGTGGGTGGGTGGGATGTTTGCGCGAGCAGTGGAGTGGACAACTCATTGCGAACAGAAATTAATTGCACCACATAGATCACACCACATATGTTGCACAACATGTGTTGCACGACATAGATTGCACAACATGGATCGTACCACCTAAATTGAACCACCGATCTTGCAGAACGTAGATTGCACAATTTATTTGCACAACATAGATTGCACTACACCTTTTGCTCCTCATGTATTTATTGATCCAGATAGAGTGCACAACATCGATTGCGCCACCTAAATGGCACTACATAGATGGCGCCACATATATATAGAGAGAGAGAGAGAGAGATTGCACCACATGTTTTGGTCCCCATGGACTCCCAAACATCGATTGCACCACAATGATTGCAACACGTCAACGATTGCACCGCATAGATTGACAGAAATCCTACTCTGGGGCCCACGCTGACTATCGGATGTTGAAGATCCGTTTATGTGGGGGCTCCCCTCCCCGGACCCTGAACCTCCTCGCCATCGTCGTCCAAAAACACATTCGCAGGCATCGACCTCCTGGACAACGGCCAGTTCGCGCAGGGCCTCGTGGGCGCCGAGGGCGCCTGGGGCCGGTACGAGTTCGACCCCGCGGGCTTCAGCAGGCGGCCCGCGCCTTCCCCGCCTCGAGGGGAGGAGGGAGAGGAGCACGAGGAGGACGACGAGGACGAGGAGGGCGAGGAGGACGAGGACGACGAGGGGGAGGACGAGGAGGGCGAGGAGGAAGAGGAGGACGAGGAGGAGGAGGCGGAGGACGAGGAGGAAGGAGGAGGTGGAAGAGGAGCAGGGGGCGAAGGAGATGGAGGAATTGGGGCAACGCCGGAAACGGCCCGCGGAGAAGAAGAACCCTGACCCCCGGCGGACTGACTATGGTCAGCCCAGGTTCCTGGCCACAGTTTCGGTCTCAGGGGCCGTTTCTGGGCTCAGGGGCAATCAGAGAAAGATCCGAGATGAGAAAGCGAATGCCCGAGGGATGGGTTCGATATGTCCACTTGAGACAGCACTCGCACTCCCTGAAAACATCGATACCCGCTCGGGACAGCACTCGCACTTCCACGTGAGTTGCCTCGCCCTTCGCCCCTGTCACCGCTTGCGCAACTACAGCCAGGGCGCTGAAAGAGGGACCACGTCGGGCTCAGGATGGGCTCGTTTTTTCGGGCCACTCCTCAGCTCTAGGTCTGGGACGTGTTTGTGGCCTAGGCCCGCCGTGGCCAGAAAAGTCCCTTCGTTCCTTCTTTGGCGACCCTTCTGGTAGCGCGTTGACTGCATCCCCCCTCCCCGGGAGGCTCGAGACGACACGGACATAACCTTCCGGAGGTCCGCACGGATGTGCCGGATCGGCGCCGGGCCACCTCTCCTGGCGCGCTGGAGGCCCGCCAGGGGCGGCGCTGGAGGCGACCCCATCGCCGACCCAATCGATCCGCGCGACGATGTCTGCTCGCTCGTATTTCCTCGGGAGAGGGAATCTGTACGTGCCCACTGCCCCCCTGGCCAGGCCCTTCTGGGCCCAGGGGCTGTGTGTACGCCCCCCTGGGGCAAGCCAGAAGCGTGGCGTACACACCGCTGCCTGCTGGGTTCAGGATAGGCCTGGCTAGTGAGCAGTGAATATGTATAGATTTCGTCGCCTACTTCCTCCTCCTCCTCCTCCACCACCCTGTGCCCGTTGCCGTTCGACTTTTGCCCACCTTCAGCCGCGCGCAGGGGGGACTAGGAGGAAGGGGGACAGCTTCATTCCAAGAAACCTTCCCCCTCCCCCATCCCCCCTTGCGCGCGCTGTCGATTGAGACGACGGCTGTTCGTTCTCTTCCTCCTCCTCCGCCCTCTGCCCGTTGCCGTTCGACGCTGGGCCACTTGCCCGCGTGCCGAGAGGCCTCTGCGCGCGCACGCGCGGCGAGCCATCGTGCGCAGTCACATGCGCAGCCCGCACAGAGGGCTTGCACGACCCCGCGGGGGAGCGCAAAACGGCGTACTCCGCCCGAGTCCTTGGAGGAGGAGGAGGAGGAGGAGGAGGAGGAGGAGGAGGAGGAGGAAGAGGAAGAGGAGGAGTCGCCATGGGGGAGGAGGAGGAGGAGGAGGAGGAGGAGGAGGAGGAGGAGGAGGAGGAGGAGGAGAAGGAAGAGGAGGAGGAGAAGGAAGAGGAGGAGGAGGAGGAGGAGGAAGAGAAAGAGGAGGAGTCGCCATGGGGGAATCGGGTTCTGAGGGAAACGGGTCCTGAGGTGCTTCGCCGCGTTCGGGCTCTGCTTCGCCGCGTTCGGGCTCTCGGGGCCCTCCACGGGCCCCGGGACTATCAGAGACCGATTCGAGATGAAGATCTCGTTTTGGGGGGAGGCCTTGGGGTCCAGGACCCGCTTCCCTCAGGACCCGTTTCCCCCTGTATGCTAAAGGAGGGGTGAGGATGGGCAGCAGGAGCAGAAGCGAGGAGCGAGGATGCGGGGGAGGGGCGGGATTCCCTGGGCTTCTTGGTGTCCAACATTGGCCATCAGGGAGGCACAGCGAGGAGGGCTTGGGGGGAGGAGGACGGATGAGCACAACGGAGGAGGTAGAGTATGGAGGAGGAGTAAGAAGATTGAGGATAACCAGAGGGGACCAGGAGTAGGAGGAGGAGGAGGAGGAGGAGGAGGAGGACGAGGAGTTGGAGGAGGCCAGGCCAGAGGAGGGCTGGGGATGTTGTCGGATAATGGAAATTAGAATTGGTATGGTCTGCATCCGCAGCAGTTCAAAAAGGAATGAGGAGAAGGAGGAGGACAAGGAGGTGAAGGAGGACGAGGAGGAGAAGGACCGAGCAGGAGGACAGGGGAAGCAGGAGAAATGGCCTCCTCGTCTTCCCAGCATCATCCTCTACCAATCGCTCCCCCCGCTCCTCCTTTCACTTACTTCCTCCTTCATGCGGTTTTCCTGGCTCACACGTTCCTCCTTCCTCGCTTCCCTCTTCACCATCTGATTACCATTCATCTCCCCCTGCTCCCCTTACTTCCGGTCCTCCACTTCCTAAGGTACACCGAGTTCGTGCCGTGGTTCCGCGAGGCGGAACTCAAGCACGGCCGCATCTGCATGCTGGCCTGGCTCGGCCTGGTGGTCCCCGACTTCGTGCGGATTCCAGGAGCCCACGAGGGGGGGGAGGGAGGAAGGCAGGGAGGGAGGAAGGAAGGGAAGGAGGGAGGACGGGGAGGGCGTGGAGAGGGAGGGGTGATGAGATGGGTGGAGAGAGGGAGGAGTGAGGGGTGGAAGGGCGAGAAGGACCGCAGGGGAGGGAGCGGGGAAGAAGACGGAGGACGAGGAGAATGAGGACGGGGGGGGGAGGGGGGAGGGAAGGAAGAGCACGAGGAGGAAGGAGGGATGGATGGCCCAGAAGGAGGAGGACGGGGGGAGAAAGAGGATGAGGGACAGGAGAGGAAGAGGAATAGGAGGAGCAGGAGGAGGAGGAGGAGAATGAGGGGCACGAGGAGGAACGTTGTTGAGGAGGAGGAGAAGGATGACAACGACACGGAGGGACAGGAACGAGGAGACTGTGTGAAGGAGCAGGTGAAGGAGGAGAGCCCAATATGAGCCAAAGGGGCAGGAGGATTGGGAATCAAAAGGACGAGGAGGGACCAGGCTGAGGAGAAGGGACCAGGACGAGGCGGATGAAGAGGAGACGGAGAAGGGACGAGGAGGAAAAGGAGGAGGAGGGATCCTCAAAGAGAGAACGAGAGAGAGGGAGAAGGAAAAGGATGAGGAAGAATGGAGGAAGGAGGATAAGGAGGAGGATGCGGGACTGGGAGGAGGAGAAGGGACCCGGGAAACAGAGAAGTGGAGGGAGAGAGAAAGGAGCGGGAGCAGGGAGGTGGGAGGAGCAAGAGGAGCAATGCCGCTGAGATGGACGAGCGAGTGCCCAAATGCGTTTGGCCTGGATGTTGCAAAATGTTTGGTCAGGAGGCTCGTCGTCGGGCGCAGTGCGCGCACTCTTCTGGCCACTGGCCACTGCACTGCCAGAAACAGGAGCGTACGCATTGCGTTGACAGTACTGTGAAGGCCTTACCGCTGGCGTTGCCGACCCTGAAAGGGGACGACGACGACGACGACGATGTTGACGACGGCGGCGACGACGAAAAACGTTGAAGAAATTGACGAAAATGATAGACCTTACCTTGTTGGGGTTCGTGCGGCGTTGGCGCGCGAGCGACGCCGGCGGAGGCGTTCAAGGTTTACTTCTGCGAGGCGGATGCACCGATGGACACGGTCACGCCATTGGGCCCGATTCAATCCAACCTTGAACGATCGGGGCCGCGATCGATTCGAGGTTGAACGATCGGCGCGATCGCTTGCCTTTGTTGCGGCTTAGAAACAGAAGTGTACATGTTGCGTTGGCAGTATTTGCGTAGCGAGTTCGTTGCCAGCATCACGTGGCGAGCGTGCCCGGGCGTCCTCTCCAGTTCGCAGACGCCACGGCGCACTGCCACGATCGTCTGCAGGGCCTGCCCGCGATGGCCCCACACGGAGCTGACCAGAAGTCGAGGACTGGCAGCCGCCGTTGGAGCATACGGTCAGGATCGTCGAAACAGGAGAACAGTTTTGGCTCGTTTCAGGATCTTCAAACGGTTGTCTCCCAACGGGGCAATTCCCTCAATGGAAATCAAACCTAGCAGGGGCCTACGAAGAGGGAGCACGGAGGGGCTATTCCAACATCATTGATGAGTATTGGGTTTGCACTGGTCCTCCTTCTCCTTCTCCTCTTCCTCCTCCTCCGCCTCCTCCTCCTCTATCGCTGCTCCCTTCTCTCGCTGCTCCCCTCTCTCTCGTTCCTCCTCCTCTCCTCCCCTCTGCTCTGTTTGATCATTCCCGCCCTCGCTGCTCCCTGGTTCAGCTTGCCCAGCTTCCCCGCCCGCGACCCGGTCGACCCAGGCCCACCGGGCGAGACCTCCCCCCCCCATCCCACCCCGAGGAGAGCGCTACTCTTTCGAGGCCCGCGGCGGAGGCGGAGGAGGACGGGGAGGAGGAGCAGGAAGGAGCAGGAGGAGGAGGAGGAGGAGGAGCAGGAAGGAGGAGGAGGAGGAGGACGATGAGGAGGAGGACGAGGAGGAGGAGGAGGAGGAGAAGGAGGAGGAGGAGGACGAGGAGGATGAGGAGGAGGAGCAGGAAGGAGGACGGAGGGGGGTTCTGACTGACTGACTGACCACTGCATGAGGGAAGCAGGAGTTCCGAGCAGAGCACCGCCCACCGTGCAGGCGCGCTTCCGACATCGGTCGCGTGAGCCCCCGCCCCACAGTAGCGAACGGGCGGATGCCCTCACGGCGGAGCTTGGGCACGCCCCGCCAGGCGACGGAACGGCGGGCACAGGTAGAGAGGGGAGAAAGGCTGAGGAGGACTCTGAGATCCAGGCGTTACACTGTTTCACAACGGGCGATGTTGCCGTGCTGCGGGCCCTGGGACCCTCCTGGATCGATCCGGCTCGAGAGAATGCCGCAAGCGGACGGGGTCCAGGGTTTCGGTCGAGTCCTTCGTGACGATATTCCTCTGTGTCCGTCGCGTCGGATCTCAGGAGGAGGAAAAGGAGGAGGACGAGGATTGGCGCGGACGAAATGGGCAAGGAGAAAACAGGAACGATGCCCAACAGCAGCTCCCATTCATTTTGAAGAGGACCCGCTATCCGCGCCGCTGCGGACGTTGTCCATTTGAGACAGAAGGCCGCCTGCCCAAAAGCTGCCGCTGCCGAGTTTGGAGGAAAACTGTTACTGTACATCGTACCCACGTTTTCCGTACCCATGTGGGGCGTCCAAAGAAGAAGGATTGTCAGACGGGGCTAGGACGAGCATAAATCCGTTCCAGAGCTTTCAGGAACGCTCTGAGAAGGCAGCGGCGCCGGAGACATCCTTCAGAGCCGCCGAATCTCAGAGATTCTCGATTTATCCTCACCCGATGTTATCCTCGCCCTGGCTTCGTTTAAGATAAAGGAGAAGGAGGCGGGAGTTCGGACTCGGGGTCCGTCCACCAGGGCCCACAGGGATGGGCAGGTCAGCCTGGCCAGACGGCGTGCGGAGGCGTGGGGGCGTGGCTCCAGGCGGGGCTGCGGTACCCCAAGCGGCCCTTGGGTGCGGCAATCGTCGACGGTGTGGCGGGAAGAGGAGCGATCAGCAGGATGAGGAGGAGGAGGATCAGGAGGAGGGGTGCCAGCTCGGCCGAATGCTTGTCTTCGGCCAGCAGATGGCGCGCCGCCACGTTCGCGCTTCATGGCTGCAAGCCATCACGAAATGAGTGGGGGAAGTTGGCGTTCGACTGGACGGGCCCTACGGCTTGGGCCCGTAGGCTGTGGGGCCCGGACTTTCGGCGGATACCTCGCGGCACGGTCCAGGGCGCGCGCGGGTTTCACAGAAGCTGTGGCGTTCCCGCACGCTCTCGCAGCGCACCCGCCGCAGCCGCGCCGAGGCCGTCTCCTCCTTCGCCCGGCGCTGCACCGAGTCGCCAGAGGTCCCGCTGCCTGCGCAGCGGCGCTTCGCCCGCGCTCCTGGACACGTTCCGCACAACGATCGCCGAGCGTTTTGGCCGCTGGCGCCCAGCACACAAAGGCGCCCTCAGAACTCGTCCTTGCAGGCCTTCGCGGCGAAGGCTTTGACGACGGCATCGCCCTGCGTCCGCAAGCATGGTTCCGGCCCTCATCGGTTCCGCGGAACTTTCTCGACCGCTGGATCTGCCCTTGAAGTCTGCTGGCGTCGCTGGCATCTGGCCATCGGTGGTGCCATTGTTTCCTGCCCCAGCGGTGTGTGTGGGCCACTGCCGCTCCGATGCAAGTGTATCCACACCTAGCCACCTGCCTGCACGGGTGCCCAGATTTGCGAGACGAGATTGTTCACTGCATTGTTTGCGTTCGCGCGCAGTGGCCCGCGCTGATTCTTCTCATGCGCCTGGGGACCTGGTGATCGTTATGGTGAGGAGGGTGAGAACCCACTGGTCGATAGTGCGAAGGCCCGCCCTTGTCTACAACTTGTACAACGCAGTCAAACATAATATTGGCGTCTCGCCACACCACCACCTTGCCTGTTTGCAGGGCTCCCCCTTCATTGACGATCGCTCCTCGCCCCTGTCGAGCATCTGGGGGCCGCACTGCGCAGGAGCCCCCGAAAGTGTTGGCAAGGATCGACGCTTCACGTAACCTACCAGCCCAGCCAGAAACGATGCACAGGTGAGTTACCCTGATCAAGCATGTGGGGCACGCGATAGAATAAAAGCCGAGAAGCCCTCATACCCCAAGAGGAGGAGGATACAGGAGGAACCAGAGGAGGACGAGGACGAGGAGGAGGAGAAGGGGAGAGAAAGGAGAGAGAAGGGGGGTGAGGAGGAAGATTGGGCGGATGAGGAAGAGGAAAAGCAGGAGGGCGAACAGAAAGGCCAAAGGCCTCTTGGATGTTTCTCGGCGTCTCTTCGGATATCTTCTCGAGTGCTTCTTGTAGGCTTGTTGGAGCGTCTCAGGAGCCTCTTGGCGGCCCCGGGGGCCTCTTGAAGCGTCTTGGGTGCCTCGAGGGGCCTCGTGGGGCCTCTTGGTGGTCTCTTCGGAGCCTCTTAGGAGCATCTTGGAGGGGCATCTCGGGGACCTCTTGGGGCCTCCTGGGCGCCTCTTGGGGCACCCTCGGGAGCCCCGGGGGTAATCTTGGAGGAGATCCTTTCAAAGAAGGGGGGGGGAGTAAATTCGACCCCCTCCCCAGGACGGCAAAATGGGTCCAAAACCTTTGTGAAATCAATGGTGTTGGCCGTCTCGCCGATGCCATCTTGGACGCTCCAACGCCTCGCCGAACCCTTTGTCCAGGTCCAGGGGTAGGAGGGAAGGGAGAGGGGTCAAGACACCCTCCCCGTCCGCAAGCCGTCTCGCTCACTCCAACCCGCCTTCCCAACGCATGAGTAGCGCCCGAGCCACAGCGTGTTCTCTTTGGATGGACAGCTAATGGGATCCAAAACAGACCCCATTTCCGCAACGCTGGGGCGAGGTGCGCCAGGCGTGCCGGGCGCGCCACGCGCGCCAGGTTCGCCAGGCACCCTGTGGCCGAAGCGTGCCGGGCACGCCTGGTGCGCCAGTTGCGCCACGTGACCCACGTGCGCCATGTGTGCCGTATTCTCCAGCCGCGCCAAGTGCGCCAGTTCCGCTCGTGCACGTGGCAGTAGACATGGGGAAACGTGTCGACACCCACAACCCTTGTCGAAAACCAGTGCGCAATCGCGGTGGGGTGGCCACCATAGCGTCTGATGGGCCTGCTGCACATAGCAGGCAATATGCCAACACCCCCGCCGTCCCAGTCAAAAACCAATGCGCAGTGATCTCGGGGTGCCTGCGCATGATCCAGATTTTGTCTCGAAGTGCATGTTTTATTGTTTTTGACATGGGTGCTGGCCCTGCGCGCAGCAGCTAATATGCGGGCACCCCCCCGTCCGTCACAAAATAATACAAAGTGCTCGCGCCCACCTGATCATGATCCAAGATTTTTCCCCAAAGTGGACTTTACATTGTTTTTTGACAAGGATGGTGTTGGGGATGCCCTCATTGGTCCTGGTTGGCTGCCGGTCGCCCAGGGGAGGCGGTGTTCACTAATCGGGAACAGTGATAAACCCTTCCCCGAAGGGGAAGAGGAAACGCTCTAAACCACTCACGCCCTGAAGGGCTGGTGAGATTTGGCAGTTCGCCACCCCAGGACAGGCGAGGTCTCATCTGATCCGCGTAGGACGTCACTACCTCGGACCCTCCATGAGCCCACGAAAGTGTCGACATGTTCCCGGTTAGCAGCCCCCAGGGGCGGCAAGATCTCATCTGATCCGTGTAGGGCTTCACTATATAGGGCCCAAGGAGCCGAGGAAAGTGGCGACATTTAAGCAGCTCGCAGCCCCTAGGGACGGCGAGGTGCCATCTGACCCGGCATTACGCCAAACCCCACAGGGGCCCACGAAAGTGATGACAGTTTCACAAGTCGCAGCCCCATTGGAAGGCGAGGTTTCATCTTACCCGCGGAGTGCGCTGGACCCCACAGGAGCTCACAAAAGCGTCGACAGATTCGCAGCTCGCAGTGGCGGCGAGGTCTCATCTGACCCGCGTATGGCGGCACTAGGCTGGACCCCCCAGTGGCCCACGAAAGCGGCAACAGCCTTACAGCTCGCAGCCCGTAGTGACGGCGAGGTCTCACCTGGCCCGCGTAGGACGGCACTACGCCGGACGCCCCAGAGGCCCACGAAAGTGGCGACAGCTTCGCTATTTGCAGCCCCCGTGGACGGTGCGGTTTCATCTGATCCGCCGAGTACCCGGGACCCCCAGGAGCCCACGAAAGTGTCTACAGTTTCGCAGCTCGCAGCCCCCAGGGCCGGCGAGGTTCCATCTGATCCGCACAGGACCTCATTACGTTGAACATGTCTGAAGCCCACGGAAGTGGCGACAGCTTCGCAATTCGCAGCCCTCTTGGACGGCGTCGTTTCATCTTATCCGCGGAGTACGTTGGACCTCTCAGAAGCCCTCGAAAGCGTCGACTTTTTCGCAGCCCGCAGGGGCGGCGAGGTCTCACCTGATCCGCATAGGACGTCACTGCGTTGGCGGCAGCTTCGCTGCTCGCAGCTCCCACTGAAGCGAGACAGAAGGCAGCCAGGAGAAAAGAGGCAGGCAAAAGGTAAGAGGCCAGAAGGAGGGAGGGGGAGGGAGGAAGCGGGAAGGAGGGTTCGAAACCGCAGCAGTCGGTCCGGATTAAAAACAGGAGGGGTTGGAAAGCATATTGGCATAATCCTGAAGCGTCGGGAACCTTACGAGAACCCTGGAAAAGGCAGAGTATCGATGACGTCTGGAAGAAGTTGGCAATCCCATCCTCTTCACCTTCACGCTCCACAATCCCCTCCACGTCATATACCTATACGACCGCCCTGCGGGCGATAAGGAGGTTGGTGGGGGATTGAGATCAAATGCCCACCCTGACTGACCTCCAGCCTGTCACCTTGATCTCATCTCTCTCTTTCTCTCTGTCTCTCTCTCTCTCTCTCTGTCTCCCTCTCTCTCTCTCGCACTCTCTCTCTCTCTCTCTGTCTCTCCCTCTTTCCCTCTCTATCAGAGTCTCCCTCCACCACAATGATGATCGCGATGACGATGAGATCCCACTATCTACCTATCCGTCGACCGGCCTATCGGTGAATCGCCCTGTCGATCTCACTATCGACCTCAAAAGCAAAATGAGAAAGCTCGCCGCAGGCGCCGAAAAACTGTATGTTGTCGGACAACCACAGGACAAGCATCGGCACAACCACCAGACAACCATCAGGACAATCACGAGACAACCACGAGACAACCATCGCATACTAGGTAATATCTGTCTCTCTCTCTCTCTCGCTCTCTCTCTCTATGTATATATACGTATCAGATAAGATGGGTTGGATAAGATATGTGGGATAAGATAAGATGGGACAAGATGGGTTGGATAAGGCTATATGGATTGGATTGGAGAAGATGGATTGGCTAAGGTCAGCTGGATTGGATAAGAAGGCCCGCCGCTGGCGCCGAAAAACAAGAATTTTGAAATTAGCGGCATGCGTTAGCGCCGGGACGCCCGGGACACCCAGGACACCGCCCGGCCCAATTGGGACACCTCCCGGCCACTGGCGGACGGGAAACGGACTTTCGCTCCTACCTCGGCCTAGCTACAGGAGGATCGCGCGCAGCTTCGCCTCGCCCGCACGCACGACAAGAACACGAAACCGAAACCGATTCCCGGTGGGGGTTCTCCGTTTCACTGCGATCTGACCCCCCAACCTCCGATTGGCATTGCCATTTCCACTGCGGCTCTCCCGAGTTCATCGCTTTATCTGCTCGTCGTTCGCGCCAGTCCCTTGTGAGGCGGTCCCCTGCGTTCTCGACGCGCACGACAGGCTCAACGGCAGCGTTGGCGTGAACGTTCAGATCTTGATCTGGAGAGCCAGGAGGAGGAGGAGGAGGAGGAGGAGGAGGAGGGTTGCGTCCGACGAACCCTACAGCCATCAGGAACCAGGAAGCAAGGAGGAGGTGGAGGAGGAGGAGGAGAAGGCGAAGGAGGATCGGGAGGAGGACAAGAAAGATGAACACGTGCAGGAAGCAGAAGAGCACGAGGAGAGAGGAGAGTTGAGGTGACGGAGGAGAGAAGAGGAGCAATCAGGAGGAGGAGGAGGAGGAGGAGGAGGAGGAGGAGGAGGGGCATGGAACAGCACCAGATCTTTTTCCGCCTGTTGGCGCCCTCTGCTGCCCCCCGAAGGGCACCCATCCCCTTTTCTTTTGTCTGGAGAGAAGACAACACACAGGCACAAACAATCGTCGATTCCCTGGACAATGTAAGACATGAGGGAAGCGGAGGGGAAGACGAACATCCAGATAATATGGCAAAGAATGGGAATCCTGGGATTTGTGTGTAATTGTTTGTGGGTCCCTGGGCCCATTCGTCTTTCTGCATCGGTGGCATCATCGACACGGCCGCCTACACTGACGTCAGCACGACTGCCCACCCCGTGTCCTGTTCCTGCGCAGCCCGCTTCTATGATTCGCGTTGCCCTTCCGTATGCTCTTCCCGCGCTTACCAGTTGCACACGCAAGCTCCACCAGCGTACCCCGCCTAGCCACAGTCACCAGCCTTTTCACCTCCCACCTCGCTGCGTGCGTGCTCACCTCTGCGCCCGGTTAGCTACGGCAGGTAGTAGAGGCGCGCGATACTTACAATGTCCGTGGACCGTCCCAGAGGCACACCATTTTCAAGCACCAATCTTCACCGAGCGCGTTCAGCTACTCGCAGTCAGAAAAAAAATCCCGGCGAATGACCCAACCATGTTCAGTTGTGGGTACCGCAATTGTGAATATATTCTTCGGTGGAGTTCCCTATGAGGCCACGAAGCGCTGCAATGGGTGGGGGGGCGCATGCGGGCGGTAGCGCTGGGGCTCTCGGTGGAGCTCCCTGTGGGGCCACGACTCGTTGTACTGGGTGGGGGGGCGCATGCGGGCGGTAGCACTGGGTCCGTCGGTGGAGCTCCCTATGGGGCCACGAAACGCTGTACTGGGTTGGGTGACGCATGCGGGCTGTAGCACTGGAGCCGTCGGTGGAGCTCCCTATGGGGCCACGAAGCGCTGCACTGGGTGGGGGGGGGGGGGGGAACATGCGGGCGGTAGCACTGGGGCCGTCGGAGGAGCCCCCTAAGGGGCCACGAAGCGCTGTACTGGGTTGGAGAGGAAACGCAGCGGCGTTAGGCACTGTGTCCGTCGGTGGAGCTTCCTATCGGGTCGCGACTCGTTGTACTGGGGGGGGGGGCGCATGCGGACGGTTGCACTGGGGCCGTCGGTGGAGCTCCCTATGGAAAAACGAAGCGCTGTACTGGGTGGAGCGGGGGGGCGCATGCGGTCGGGAGCACTGAGGCCTTCGGTGGAGCTCCCTATGGGAAAACGAAGCGTTGTATTGGGTGGGGGGACGCATGCGGGCGGCACTGGGACCATCGGTGGAGCTCCCTATGGGGCCACGAAGCGCTGTACTGGGTGGGGGGCCAGCATGCGGGCGTAGCACTGAGGCCGTCGCGCCGGCCCTCTGGGAAAACAAGCGCTGTAACTGGATGGGGGGAGAACGCTGCGGGCGGGTACCACTGGAGTCCTTCGGTGGAGCTCCCTATGAGGCCACGATACGTTGTACTGGGTGGTGGAGACGCATGCGGGAGGTAGCACTGGGGCCGTCGGTGGAGCTCCCCATAGGGCCACGATTTGCTGTACTGGGGGGGGGCATGCGGGAGGTAGCACTGGGGCCTTCGGTGGAGCTCCCTATGGGGTCACGATGCGCTGTTCTGGGTGGGGGGGGGCGCATGCGGGTGGTAGCACTTGGACCTTCGGTGGAGCTCCCAATGGGGCCACGAAGCGCTGTATTGGGTGGGGGGGCGCATGCGGGCTGTAGCACTGGGACCTTCGCTGGAGCTCCTTTATGGGGCCGCGAAACGAGTGAGGAGTTTACTGAAACGAGTGATGACGATGATGATGATGATGATGATGATGATGATGATGATGATGATGATGATGATGATGATGCTGATGCTGATGATGATGATGATGATGATGATGATGATGGTGATGGTGATGATGATGATGATGATGGTGGTGCTGATGGTGGTGATGGTGATAATGATGATGACGATGATGATGATGATGATGATGATGATGATGAGGGTGATGGTGGTGATGATGATGATGATGATGGTGATGGTGATGGTGATGGTGATGATGATGATGATGATGGTGGTGGTGATGATGATGCTGATTACGACGGCGATGATGATGTTGATGATTATGGTGATGATGATGATGATGATGGTGGTGATGATGATGCTGATGATGATGATGATGATGACGATGATGATGATGATGATGATGATGATGATGGTGATGATGATGATGAGGACAAAGGGGAGGGGGCAGCGGGAGGAGTGAACGCGGGGCGTTGTCTCTTTAAAACGAGGATCCAACACCACAGGACGGTTGGGAAAACAACATGTGCGCGTCGATGTAATGGATCGTACATCCCCCGCGGCGGATCTGGATAGTGGAACGCGTTTGTCTAAGTCTGACGCGCCCGCGATACGGGCCCTACTGCATACTGTCAGCGCCAACTCTCGCCGGACGACCGCAGCTCTCTCATCCGCAGGGCTCCTTCTCTCGACGTTGGTTGCCCCCTGCCCGGTCAGATAGAGGGCAGACGCAGCAGGAGAGGCACAGGTAATATGCGCTTGATTCCTGATTCTTGGTGGGAAAACATCGTTCGTAGCCATCCCGATGTGTGCCTCCTCCCTTCCCAACCGCTTCCCGCCGAGAGTCGCCGCGGCTC